GCGGTGGTTTTGCAGATGAGAATATGATAGTTAGCTTTAGGGTTTACACAATTGAAAATAAGTACCAAGAACTTAAGATTAGTGTAAGTAAATCATAAACTAAAATAAGTACTTTAGCCTCGATACAGAAGACTATAAAATAGATAAAATTGAGTAGTAGATAATACTTGTTTGTACATTGAAATGCGTGGTTGAAATAGAAGTTTGATAATTTAAAAATAGTTTATAATTTTGCCAAACAAAACCTTTAATTTTTTAGATGACAATGGGAATTATCCCATAAATAAAAGAGCAAGAGCATCCACCCTCGCACTCGCGCTCATGCACGAAAACATGCACACATATGCATTTTATTGGAAGTACTTAGCTAACGGAATATCTATCAAGTATGAAGATAATCCCAATAATACGCTTCTATTATGCAAAAAATACATGACATAAGGGGAAAAAATGAACTTTACTTCTTTAGAGTAGAAGTTTGATAATGAGTAAGTGCTATAAAATTTTCATGTAATGAAAAGATGATACTCTTACAAAGATATTATACCAATTACCAATATAAAATTTTGGTGTAACAAAGAAAGGCAACATAACCACCTTTAAAAAATGACTGCTACAATTATTCTTCAATTAGTGCTGATTTTTGATGTCAAGAATTTTGACTAAGCACAGCACTAGCAAAATTTGATCAACCTTTCAATGATGGAAATTGATACAAGTAGACAAAAGTTGGTCCCATAACGATGTAATAGTGTGATCATATATACAGTCTCCTCGAATTAATTACTTTTGGAATTATAAAATATGTGAAATATGAAATTATAACAAAGTTAATTTCTTAACAATGAGTGAAAATCTCTGCTACGATGGAATGTATTTGGAGGAGGTGATATAGAACAAATGGCTGAATGAATTGAGAAATAGATGGATCGAAAAAAGGGAAAAATTGTAAATTGCAGATTTTATGATCAAGCTTCGATTTGGACCAATAATAACTTTTCAGAAAGAGAATGACGAGCCGTATTGAACCCACTGTTTTTCTGTGACATATGATGGATTTTAGCCATCAAAATATAGGATTTGAAAATTGCTTTTAAAGTTTAGTGCTATTTTTGTCATTTAATTTATTTTGAATTCTTTTTAATTTTAGTTCCTTTAAATTAGGTTTTTATGTAAACCTTTATAAATAGAGGGCTAGTTACTCCTTTTGGGGCATCATATATTAATAAAATTTCGTGAATTTATTTTTTCGTAATTTGGTGAATTCCACAAATTCTGAGTAATGTTATGCACTGATGATAAGCTCTAATATATATGTCAAATTACGTAATTGGACATGTTGAATGAGATTCATATTCCTTAATTTAATAAGTTTAATTTATTACTACCACTTAATCGACGTTCTTAACATTTAACACCGGTTAGGCTAAGTAACATTATTTAATTCTTTTGAAATATTAAAACGTTAGTAGTGATAATAAAATATAACAACGTAGTGGTAAAAGTTGTGTAATGGGCACGTGTAATGGAAAATTTGTAAAATTAGTTCCCTACGGATTAATAACAACGATGTTTAAGTATTTAAATCAATGATTACTAAAGTTATTTTTTTATGGTAATAATCACTCAATCTTGTATGTTATATAAATAATCTTGTAAAAAAAAAATTTACATTAAACCGCATATGGCATCATAACTTGCCAATACGTCACTAAATGACTTTCATTATTATGTCAAGTTAGAAAAAATGAGGATTAAATACATTCAAAAAAAAAAAAAAGGTAATGCGATTTTAGTTTTGATTCGATTTTTGGGCTTATATTGTATAGCAAACTTGCACTTTTCTATTTAACAACGATATTGTTGAAATTGGCGAAATAAATAATGCTATTGAGTGACGTATTATAGCTTAATGGTGCTATGCAAGATTTAATGTTATCATCGTCATTATTATTTTTATCGAGTGATTGTTAGTATACTAGTTGAAAACTTTAGGGATTATTGCCATAGAAAAATAATTTTAGTGACCATTTACGTAATTATTTAAACTTTCAATGGCCATTGTTTTATTTGACAATCCCTTAACCTATAGCGCCTCTAGCAAATTCCTCCCCAACCTTTAAAATCAGACATTTCAATCACCATCCTTAGTTCTATTTACATATTTCGCCATTTTAACATAATTCTGTGAATGTTAATTTTCTCACTCTAGATGCACAAGCTAATTTTCTTAAGGGAGGTAAAACATTGCCTAACGCAACCTACATTTTTTTTTTAATTTTATGTTTTCAAAGGAAAATTATTTAATTTTTTACGTACAAATCTTGTCAAAATTAATCAAATGCACGACCATCGTACGAAAATAGTTGTGTAAAGATAACTACACACCTCTTGACAATTTACATACAAAATATACAAAAAAAATTGTTTCCATTATTTTCGTATCTAAGTGAAAATGTTTGGAATGAATCCCTTATGAAGGAAAAAAAATAAATAAATAAATTAAATGCAATATGATTTTAGAGCTCAACTTTTAGAGTTGGACTTAGGGATAAAAATATCATATCAAACCTTGTTTTATTTTTTATATTTTTTATATTTATAATTTTTAAACCCTTTGCAAGTTATTATTTGATCAAATCTAGTAGAAAAACAAGCAATTAAAAGTAGCTTTTCATTATTATTAAAAAGTTTGTGAAACTAAGCTATTGTTTGATAAGAACTAAAATTTAAATTTTAATATAAGTCAAAGTTAACAATTAATTTTAATTACATATTTCATCAAATTTATAACTTTTCAATCACACATTTCGTTAACTTTAATAAAAATTTATTAAAAATCTGATTTTAATCCCCCATCAAATAGGGGTTAAGAGAGATCCTTCCAGTTTGTAGATTTTGTACGTACTCCATCAAGGTACTTCTCCAAGAAAGTGACTAACAAAGAAGTGTGAAAATTAAATAAAAATNAAGACGTCATTTTTGGCCAAAAAATTGGATGATATTGCAATTTATGTTATCGGTACATGCTCCAAGCATGCATAATAATTTACCATCTACATAAAAAATTATTCTTCAAAATCAACATATATATCGAATATCCTTGAGCTCATAGTCAAAAAAAAATATATATGCAAACTTTTAACCATATCAGTTGATAGGGATGGACAAGAAAGAAAATATTGAGAATGGATAAGTATTGTAATAAACGAATTTGTTACTAAAACTGGACAACGTTGTCAATAAGAAGACCCTTTCATTAGTATATGATAAAAATGTCAATGACGATGAACATCTTATTTCATAAAGTATGAAATATTTTCTTTGACCGTGTGACTTTAAGAGAAAATACAATCTAACATATTATTTTTCGGAAAATAGAAAGAAAGAAAAAATGGCATTGTGTGCTTTCCTAGTTTTTGAACATTTCATTCCAGTGATCTCATCGATTAATACTACTTAAAAAAAATAATGTAGTTTATGTACTATTTGTTATATCCTTATAATTTAAGATTCTTAGGAGAATGGTCTATTAGGACAATTGCATAACTTGTTTAGCTCTCCAACTTGATCTTTTACAGACAATAAACTTGAGAGAAAAAAAGATGGTTCAAGCATATCTATATTATCAATTGCTTAAAATGTTTGACTAATAATTAAAAGATATATACCATTAGCTTCCATCTCAAGATATAAGTCTTGTCATATGTTCATTAAATGTAGTTTACTCCGTATGATTTTCTAAGTTTTCTCTAAAACCTACTAAAATAAAAAATAAAGTTACAATGTTTTGAAGAAAAAGAAAAGAGAAACTAAATTAGAAGTGACTATATATATATATATATATATATATATATGAAGACCTCTCTCATTATTATTTCAACATTCATTGAAATAGCATAATTAATAAAATGAAAATGCTTAAGGTGATGGCACATACCATTCTACTTTGGTGGGACAAAATGTTCTTGAAACTTTCTGTTTCTAGGAAAAAAAAAAATTATAGTGGCTAGACTTATTGAAGGACAAAAATATAAATATATCCTTCTCCCACATTATATATTCTTTCACTGAAAAAGTAAAAGTTTTCAAGTGTTATGTTTTTAGTGTTAGAAACTTACATAACATGATGTTTGAAGCCAAAAAAAGGTACACATCTGTGCGCTTGATTTCCTTGTTACAATGTTTTGCATCATAGTTTTGGAGTAATATGTATACAGAAGTTTTACATTATTTCTTCTCAATCACCACTCATATATTGGTAAAAACTTTGTTTGCTAAAAAATTTATCAAACCTAAATTTTAACCATACATTATTCAAAAATTTTATCCAATGTTTCACCAAACATTTCATAGAATCCTCCAACTTTTATCAACTTGTAACATCACAACCCATAAATCACACAAGTTTTAGTACATTTCCTCGAACAGGTCTATCGGCCTATTTTTTATACATTGGATTGGCACTCTTAAAAAAAGAAAAAAGAAATTAAATTCATATTTATTGTCTCATGAAGTGTTGTCATGCTCATAATTTATGGTGTTAAGTGCATCTTAGTAGGAAGAATTTAGCCCCTGTTTGACAATCATTATATGAAAAAAAAAAATGAATAGTGATTTTAGGAGAATGAGTGATAAAAATTAGCAAAAAAATTTTGAGTTTATGTGCAGAATATTTTATTATGTGAATGTGTGGTTGAAAATAAATATGTAGAAAAAAGAAATTTCAAATAATGATTATCAAATAGGGGGCTTAGTAGTAGATAGTATTATAGAAGAAAATGAAGTTGTAATTTCATTTTCTACACGGTATATTTTTATTAAATACTGCATACTTGTTTCTGAAAAGAAATAATAATAATAATAATAATAATAATAATAATAATAATAATAATAATAATAATAATAATAATAATAATGCTATTTAGCATTAGTAGTGTTAGAACATCAATTTAGATCGCATTAAGAAATAGGGCAAATGAAAGATACAATTAAATAATTCATTTAATTATACTTCTTATTTAATGTCATATTTGTGCGCCTAAATTAGATTGGTATTACATTCACACGGAAGAAAGGACATTGGGTATCATTTGCACGAATAATACAGGCTCATTTATTACTCATGTATCCACCGGCAGCACTGTCCAAAGAACATAAATTCACTTTTTTCCAGGTATCAAATTGGTTCATCAATGCTAGGGTTAGGCTGTGGAAGCCGATGGTGGAAGAAATGTATCAGCGGGAGTTCCAAGAAGGACAGGAGGCAGCTGAGGCAAAACAAGACAATGTTAATGAACCAAATTCAGAAACCCACCACCAAAACAATGTTGTGACCACTGCACAAACTACAATGCAAAACACTGCTAACATAACAGCAGCAAGCAAAATATCAGAAATGAATGCATTAGAAAAGGACCCTTCACAAAACAGCATCAATTATAGGCAGTGCACCTTGGGAAACCAACTCGGTTTCCAAGCTGGCAGATCCTCCACATCCACAACGTGTGCTGATCACCTGGCGCCATCCGTGTACCGGTGTTTTATGGCGAACAAGGCCGGAAGGCACGACTTGGGAGTATCGACAGATGAAGGTGCCAACGCGGGGCTTGTTAGGCTTGGGAGTTCTCAGGCAGGAGATGTGTCTCTCACTCTGGGACTTAGGCATTCGGGAAATGTACCTAGAACTAGAATGAGCCAACTCTCAATCTCAGACTTTGAAGCATATTGAAATTAGTTCCCCAAGTGTATGGGATGTTACGGTTTCAGAAGACAGTATCATAAAGTATAGAATATGTGAGCTGGTTGTTTAAATTATTAAGCAGAGTAATTGTATAGAGGAGAGAACTATTTGAAGACTTGTAATATATGAATCTTATCATGTTTATCATGACTTGCAGGGGCAGATTTTAAATGTATGGTTAGACGAAGACCAATACATGTTTAGGGGATCTATTTAATCAAAATCTGTCAGCTGCCTACTTTCTTGTAAAATAACTTGCATAAATCAAGAAAATAATTTCTTTCCTAAGGATCAAGAAATATAATTATTGAAGAATGTATGATGAGTATCTATTTGCAAGTAATATTCGACTAACATGAAGAGCTTGTATGAGTTTCTATTGATAGTTACTATGTTTCTCTTGNGATGAGTATCTATTTGCAAGTAATATTCGACTAACATGAAGAGCTTGTATGAGTTTCTATTGATAGTTACTATGTTTCTCTTGTGATAATTTTACTTAGACTGGACAAGTAGAACTGATTCTAAGTACAATTAAAATGTGATGCAACTAATAAAAAAATGTAATGAAATATAATTACTCAATGCAATTAAAAAAAAGGTTGAAACCCAACCTTAAGGGTCCCCTACCGCCCCTGCCCTGGAGCATCGTGAGAGAGGTAAATCGCAGGTTATGTCTCCAAGGGTACAGGGTGGAAGACTGCTTGTACACTTGCACTTACCCAAGAGCCAAATCCTTATTTCAGGATTCGAACCCTTGACGCGGCAGCCTCAAGCAAAGTTGGATTTCTCCACCCTCCTCTTTTACCACTTGGAGATGTGCCCTGGGGGCTACTCAATGCAATTAATACTTTACATCATGGAGAGGATTAAGTTGTTGGTAACCTTATATACCAACATACATTTTTTATTATTTATTTAACCTAAAGTAAGTTTCGTACACGACATTTCCTACACTACTCAGGGAGTGAAAAGTAAAAAATTTATTACTAGTATTCTCTTTATAATTATATTGCGAAATTAATGCACTTTTCCTTTTTACACATGGGGATGTACTTTCTATAACGTTTCCATTATATATTAGGTTCACCTGAAAAATTTAAGTCACGTACTATTGGAAAGAATATGTTAATTTATTCTTGTAGTCATGTAGCTTTCTTATCTTTAGCATTATGATCTTCCCTTCTAAAGTTGCTTTCATGTAACATATAACTTTTAATATTGATAAAAATAAACTTTCATAGTACATGGTAACTTTATAATTTCATTTTCAATTTTCAGTACAGTGTAGGAGTGCTTGTAAAAGATTTTAGCTCATGTTTGCCTAATGTTTATTAATGGTTTATAATCGATCTAATCACTTTTTATACACATATTTTGTGAGATGCACAAATCCATATTCGAGAAGGGGCAATGATTTTCTTCCACATGAATGTTGATCCATGAAATCTAATTCTAGAGGGAAAATCGTTTGGTTTAGGTCAAGGTTGGGATGGACCATCCAAAATAAAATTAATGTTGGAGAGCGCACTTTGAAGTGTAAAAAAGGAAAGAAATTAATGGGAGTCCTAACACTAACAGTTAGTTTGATAGGGTGCATGAACTAGATAGAGTTTGACAATACTTTATCTAGTCTTGTCAAATATGTGTGCTTAATATTGAGATCGAGAAACACGTTATCACAACTTTGACTAAATATCATTGGGGAATGATAAGATGGGAGATCTTGATTGAGATTGAGCTTCTTTCCTAAATGATGTTGCATTTGTGATTGTCACCGTTGAAAAGTCAAGAATTACTCAATAGCTAGTTTTGTAAAGAATGAGAGATGTCAAGGTTCTAACTAAAGTCGATTTTCATTCATTCTCCCTCCCGGCCCCAGGTCGGTACATTTCTATATGTAATGTGGATTGGGATATAGCACGGCCAATTTTACACTTCCATGACAAATGGTTGATAACAAAACTAAATATATTTTAATTCAAAAGTCACAGCAATTACATTCTTCAACAGATTAGCTTGGATTTAACAAGAAAAAGGTATGGTCCAAAATTTCCGAGAGTTACAAGTTCAAAAAAAAAAAAAAAAAACAGTCGCATAATCAATGTCTCAATCTTTGAATAGATTACACTAGATAATTACAGAATGAATGAATGAATCCTCCCGTCACTCTAATTACACTTGCTCGTACTGGGATATTTTGGATTTGAAAGAATGGTCCATTTTATTTACTTTTAAACAAAGATGAGCTTTAACTGGTTTATGATCAGAGCTATCTACACTATCAATGGCCTCGTATGAGTGCAAAGTAGCATTGATATCCTCGTCTTCTATCTTGAACAATATTCGATCTGTCCATGCCGGTACTCTTATCTGCGAAAGGGCAAAAATATGTTAATTCACTGGTAATTTACATCGGAATTTCGAACTGGGATGAATAATTTGAACCCCAATTTTAGTTTGTAATGTATTATTTGAACAATATATTACTATTTAGTACCTTGTAACTGGTATCATACTCATTGCTTCCAATGTTGTATTTGTATGTTGGTTTGAATGCTAATGTCCCTTCACAGTATCCACTGAAGACCTGTCCTCTTTCAGCCTCTTGCAGAAGTTGATCTTTGGTAGTGAGCAACTGCTATAATAGAAATTGTTAGCTACTCTTTTTTTGACATGATTGAAACTGATTCGTGGGGTTTTGAACATGGTATGAGATTAGACAAATATCTTGAATTCAAATTTGTGGCTGCTTGTCTATATATGAAAGTTATGCGAGTGTCAAATGATCGATGCAAAAAATGAATATGTCTTGCATATAATAGGGTGTGTGATGAAGACATGGAATGTGTTTAGCTAAGCTTAATATAAATGTAAAATTATTCTCTTGGAATCTTTCAAAAAGTGAATTTTACGATAAGCCAAACATTAGCTTGTCACATTTCTAACAGCTTAAATTTTTAGGCAAGTAAACTTACTCCATGAAGGTTGTTCACTATTAGATTTCTGGCTGGAAATGTATTAATCCCTTGCAGTCTATAGTTAAGATCTCCCAACCAAACAGTCACTGGAGCTGGTTTGGCATAGGGATTCCAAGTCTTGGAGAATAAGGAGTGTGATATGTGCCTACACTGTGAATTTCTCTCTTCCACATTGCGAGCGTGAGCTGCATAAATCATAGAGAAGAAATTAGAAAAGCGAAAACTACTAAAATTATTCAAGAAAAGCATAATCTTGATTTCCTCTGTTTATGAATCGCCACGGATAAAGCTACAAGAACTCTTAGCTTTTCGAGTATATGATTCTCAAGTCATTCACTACTAAAAGTACAAATTTTCTTGCTAGTTTGTTTCTGAAGATGCTCGTGGGCTTACCAGATAGATGGCAGGATATGAACACCATTTGTATTCCCTTGTACCTGATGCTAATAGCCACAGCTCCTTTCTTTCTCCTAATTAAACCTCCACACCCCCCAACATCATGTTTGTCAACTTCTACTTCTGAAACTCAAAACAGTAGAGCCAAAAAGTTAGGAACATGAATTGAGTGGAATGCTTTCCAAAAAATCCTTGAAGATTAGTAAGTCCACTGCCTACCTTTTACGAATAATTCGGAATTCTTCGATCCAAAAATGTACAGCTGCAGAGATTGCATTACTGCTTTCTCTAACAAACTTCATAAATCATAATAAACAATGTCAATTAGAAGATCTTTAAAAAAAAAAAAAAAAAAAAAAAAAAGAAGACATCTTTGTGTTGATTTTGTTCGAAAGGCCCTTCTTATTCTGATGGCCTGGCCTGGTCAGTACCTAGCCGGGCCCCTTTTTTTGTTCCAACGAATTATAGATAAATAATGATTTATTTGATTTGAAAACAAAAATCCTTTTTATTTATTATATTCAATTGAATATAAAATATTCAAGCAACAACAA